ATATATATATATATTGATAACTGAGTCGTAATTACAGTAAAACTACATTTTGAATCGGGTCTTGAAAATCAATTAAATCACTGTGGTCAAAAGTCATGTGTCTCTATGATTAGAACTTTTGTTTTTTTACTTGAAAGTTTGATAAAAGTAAATAACAATAAAATATCATTCGTAAAACAACTAATACTACAACAATAACAGTCATTGCTGCCGCATATGTAAGGGAATTGTTTTGCTAAAACTATTTAAATACAATGTTTATTTACTTTTCCAACATTCAAGGTACGAAATTTCGATAAGAACATTAAAAAACAATAGAAATAATAATAATACTAATAAAAAATAGAATCTATTCAAAATTTTGTTCTAAGTGACATAACCTTTTATTATTGATCGTCTGTAATTTAATAAGTTTAAATATTTTTGCTAAAAACAAATTAGATTAACTTTTAAACTAATTGGAGCAATCTAAAAACATTTTCGTACAAAAAGTTAATCAGAAAAAAGTATATAATACAATGTGCTAAAAAAGACTCTACTTTAAACTTGTATTTTTTATTTTTTTTATTTAGATTTTCAGCGCGAAAAATAATTCTGAAATACAAAGTCAGACTTAAATAAATATCATTCGATTTTAATTTAATGAGCAAACTTTCTAAAAAATATTTAATTTAATTGTGAGTTTGATTTTTGTCATGAAAAAAGAAAACCTTTCTTTGCATTTAATTTTTTTCAAATGCATTAACGAACACGAGAGTTTATTGAAAAATAAAGTCAATAAACAATGCTACGTTGTGATTATTAAGCATTTATTTGTTTGAAACTTTTCAACAAAAAAAAGTTGCAAGTTTTTCGTTATTTGAAGAAAAATAACTAATTAATTTTTACTGTTACAAGTCACATAAAAAGGGTTTAAAGCTCAAAAAAATGAAAAGGTTTGATGAATATCATTTAATCTTGTTTTGTCATATATATATATATGACAAAACGATAGAGGTGATATATATATATATTCACCTCTTCAGCACTAAGCGAAGGAGAGTATTCTAAAAGTTACTAAAATGAATTTGTGAAAAGTTTTTTAATTAAACTAATTTTTAAGACTTATCCTGTTATTTAACAGTCACACCTCGTATAGATAACAGACAAATATTTCTTTAAGCAAAGAATTATGTGCTTTGATAGTGCAATCATCAGAAAACATTTTAAAAAAAAGATGTTTTTCTATAAAATGTTAAAAACTGTAAAATAAGTAAAAACACATAGTATTTTATTTTTGATTCTGCGACATTGAAATTGAAACTAGCTAATGTTTTGTGAACATTGAAAGTTAATAATGAAAAAGTTCTTTCTTAATTTTCGAAAAAAGGCTTCCGTAATAACTCCAACAATTTTTAACCGGTTTGTCTTTAATATTTAAAAGCCCAAATAGCATTAGTATAGTTTCATTAACTCGTAAGATCATTTTATTTATTTATTTTTGTTCATCAGAGTGCATATTGAATAAAAGAGTAAAAAAAAAAAGATGCCGAAAGGTCGGAGTTTAATTTACAAAAAATATAAATGCAAAAAAAATTCCAAAACTCCTGCGTTGTGTAACGTAAATAATATTAGTAAAATTAATTAATTCGATACACGTTGAGAAATTCCCAAGTGAGATTGGAATTGTAGGAGCAGAAAAATTTGTTGAGGAAAAGCCCTTTAATGTTTGTTAAACTATTTAAATACATACACTCATTAATCTGAAAGTCCTGAGTTTTTATTACTTATTAGTCTCAATTTAAACTTCAAAAATAATTTTTTTATCATCAAATTTTGCAAAAATTAAAAAAAAAAGAGTGATTTTTTTGAAAAATCTACTGCACTTTTCTCTCTTAATACCTCCAAACACTAACCATTAACAAACTTCAATTTTTTCGAGTAATTTGTTGATTACTGATAAATTTCAACTCAGTTTACGTTTTAATTTTGAATATATAATACTTATAGGTTTTCGAACTGCTGATAACTAAATCTAAATTAATATAATACAAAGGGAGAGAATAATTTACAGTGCTTTACTGCCTGAGAAGGGTAAAACTGCACTGTAAAAAATTTTGTATCAAATTATGGTATGCACTTAGGGTTCCAGTACTTTTCACCATTAAACCCATTTTTATCGGATACGAAACCGGAGTTTTACGGAACAAAGAATCTGATATGTCGTAATTTTTCACATTACCAATTACCGTATAATTACTACATTACCAATTACCGTAGAATTACTACATTACCAATTACGCAGAATTACCGTAAAATCACTTTAATTATAGAAACATTACTGTAAAAAGTACTGTATAATATTTTACGGAAAAATGGATTTTACGGTAAAATAGATTTTACGGTAAAATGGATTTTACGGATGATGCACCCAAAAGTGACAGTACCTTTATAAGGTAATTTTATCCGGAATTTTTTGCAGTGTAATGTGGCTGTAAATATTGTCGCAAAGTGCCTTCATTCAAACCACGATGAGCTGAAAATTATAATTAAAGGACGAAAGTAACTTGATGAAAATTAATTCGAGAAAATGTAAGCAAATTTAAAATTTATTTTCAACGCTCCGTTGTCTTTTAATTCTATGCTATTGTTTTTAAAATACCAATTATTTTCTCATTTCAATCTAATTATATTGCGTAGAATTAGAATTCAAAGTCAGAGAGAGTTTAATTTCCTT